CTAGGATGTCCTAATGGATTAAGAATTTAGGGTTTGTTGGTATTAAGCACTTCTAGCCATGCAAAGTCGTAAAGTTGGAAACTTTATGACTTATAATGATACTTTGGGCTTGGATCTGGATTTGGACGTAAGGATATGATGGATTAAGCTCTTAATAAGAAGTTGAGGTGGTCGGGTGCGTACCAAATGGTATGATGCACGTACACGGTCAAAACCTCGACTTCTTTGTAAAGCTAAGTACACCCCGCGTAAAGCTTAGTACGCCCAACATACCCAGTTGAGTTGACTCGGCTGGTTTGTTGACTTTTGACTTTGACCAGGATTTGACCAAGTTTGACCTAAGGGTATTTTGGGTACTTTGAGTTGTATTTGAGATTGGTCACTAGTTGGTGAATAGATGACGGTTAGAGCTGATATTCAGAGCAGAGACCTATTCAGCTATTTGCTCAGACCGAGAGGTGAGTTTTCCTTAATTGTACTTATGGGTTGAAGGCTCCAAGGCTGGCCCTTTGGATTAGGTATACTGTTTTGTTACATACTTTTATGCTGAGATACATGTTCACTGGTAGATATGTAGAATTACATGTGTTTGTTGTTTACTGTTTGTTATTGTATATGTCGACATGTTATGATTTGATGGGCTGAGACGAACCAGCTAGTGCTGAAAGCCAAAACACCCATGGCGGCTCGGATACACTGAAGGCCAGAAAGGCATTCCAGTCAGTCCGAAGGCTCAGAGAGCGGTCCAGAAAGGCTGTAGGCCATGCGAGGCAGTCCAGTCATGTTGAAGGCTCACATATGCATGTTGTTGTTTGTTATGTTGTGCGGTGGTACTTTGTGGGAATTCACTAAGCTTTGTCTTACGGTTTCAGTTTATTGTTTCAGGTACTTCAGAGGATCGTGGGAAATCGAAGACATGATCGTGCACATCTTCCTATTTTTAAGATATTGGATCTTGGGATACTCTGATTATGATTATACTTTTGAAACAATGGTTTTTCTTGTAAACAATTATGTTTTGTGTTGTTTTTTAAAAGTTAAAATTTATTGTGATTTTTGGAATGTTACAGTGAATATTTAAAAGTTAGGGTGGTCAAGTTTGTAACTTGTGGAAATTTATTTATTAAATGGAATTACCTACTAAATTTGAAGGGTCAATATGTACTTTCTATTTATTTCCTTAAAAGAAGATAAATTTTACTTAAAAAAGATGAATAATGGATGGAGAAATGATGTCAATCAACGAGCAGTGCTTAGAGAAAAGGATTTCGTCGGTTGAGCTAAGTGACATTTATGCTTAATTTTAAGAAACAAGTATATATACATACATAATAAGTAGATAATTTTGTTAATTTCAGGACCTATTTTTCCGGGGCCATGTGCAGTTGCACACCTTGCACACCGTTAGGGTCGGCCGTTTGTGTGTTTATATATATATATATATATATTATATATATATATATATATATATATATATATATATATGTGTGTGTGTGTGTGTGTGTGTGTGTGTGAAATAGTGGTCGTGACCCGAATCTCTTCACCGATAGAATTATGTATAGGCAGTGGGGTTCAAGAGGCGGTCCTACTAGTCTTGGATAAGATCAACTTTAATATTTTCCTCTTCATAAGCACAGGAGGTTAGGCCATTGAGTCACAGTGAACCAAAGTGAGTCAGGTAAATATAATCTCGTGGTGGATATGCGTGGAATCCTCCAACACATCATTGCAAATAGGATTAACATCATTGGCGGTCGTGGCGAGGACCATGTTGATAAGAATTTCGAATGTGAGGGTGAGAATACACAAAAAGAATCGAGCTCCCCAAGTATACATGTTTATCATAGGCCACTGAAGATAGTAGTTGATTATTTGGATATATTATATTTATTCGTTTTATGTTTGCATTTTTAACTTTACATTTAATTTTTTACATACATTTTATCAGTAGCATGCATTTGAGGATCTGAGCATCTTTTATGGGTTTGAGAATGTGCTAAAAGATCTACGATGATCTGAGGGATTCTTGGAAATCATTGGTGAAAATGAACAAAATGGATGAAAATTTAATCCCACCAACAGATAAAGTTGTTGAGATAATGTGCACTTATAATCCCACTAAAATTCATAGTAATGTGTGGGTTTCTGTAAGTCAGCCTAGTTGATACATTACTCTTTATTTTGTTATTTTATTAGTCCTTCATATTATTATTATTCATATATTTTTTTCTCTTTATAGGAAGGGGACACACTTGAGTAGAGGAAGAGGTTCGATAAAAGAAGGTAGAATTGCAATAATGATGGAATATGCTGAATAGAAAAAAAAACAAACAAACATATAAATATACAAAGAGGAAGCACAAAAACGTATTCCAACAAGGATCACAAATTCATAACTAGTATAAAATGAATATTAATAAGACATACCCTTTTAGTCCTTTGAAACTTTTCGAATCTGTTGTATAGATGTAGAAAACCTAAACCAGAGTTCCTCTCTTGTGATCACACCCAAGAGAAAGACCTTGCAAAACCCTTGAAAAAATCTCCTTTGCTTGTGCTCCAAGTTGAACAACAAAATCCTAAATTACCTAGGGTTTTCGGCCTCATGCTTGTGCGGCAAAAAACTAAGAGGGAGAGGTGGAGAGAGGGGATAAAAAAAGAATAGGAGGAGAGGCTTAGATGGATGGGTTGGTTTTCTACGTCTATTATAGGGGTGCGATTAGGTTTCCTTATTGGATAATTACTTGGTCACTAAGTAATTATCCCTTAAGATTTGAATTTCAAATCTTAAAATTTAAACCCTTAACATCTTTAAGTTTTAATTAATTTATTAATGTCTAATAAATTAACAAAATAGATCTTTATCACCCCTCTGTTCTCAAATAATGCTTAGATCTTTTCTTGTGTGTAACCCAAAAGGACTCTACTATTAATAGTAATATCAACAAATAACACCAACAATTATAAGTTCATTTCAAGACATGCGACAAGAAGTATCTGATACGACGAGCATCGTATCAGGGAGGGAAGTAAAAGTACTTGAAAACGTAATAGTTTTATTATTATTATTTTAACTCAAGCTTCATCAATTATATTGTGTAGTTTATATCGAGAGCTAAATTGGGCCATGAACATATATTAAGTAGTTGTTTCTTCAAAAACACCTTACTAAGGCTTCGAAGGTGAAGTATTGGGTTGGAGATAATGTAGATTTACAAATTTGTATAGCTAAAGTGAAAAATGCATATGTAAGTTATCTTCATCATCTTAGATATTAACTATCATATATCTTTTCACAATAGCAATCTTATTTAGGTAAATTGTAGGATTAATATTGAGAGAGCCATGTTTCAGTTCATCATGTAGGAGATGATATGGATTTTTAGATGCAAACTCGGACATAGATACAAGGAGAGAGAAGGATTACTCGTGGCTGTTTATGATCCAAAATATCCAGTTTGTGGTGACGGGGATACCATCTTTTAGGTTTTCCACTTCTGAGTTCGTGGTGATTGGGAGACCATCTTTTAGGTTTTCCTCTTCTGAGAACTTACAGTCGCAAGAAGAGTTATACTAATTTAATAAATGCATTTTGTTTTAATAGAGATAAAATAAATACTATTTGCTATTATGTATAATAAAATGGAGTACATTATCATTATCAGTATAAAAGAATATGTTGCTATTATAGATAAAAAATAAAGTACAATGTTATTTTGGATAAAAAAAATTAAAGTGCATTTGCTATTTGTGTATAAAAAATGTATGTTGTTTGTTTACTAATCAGAAAAGTTAGTTGCTCTTATGAATTCTTAATAAAGTACATCACTATTAATGAATAAAATATAAAGATTGATGTTATAATGGATAGTAAAAGGATTGTCTATATTGGTAAAAAAAATAGTATGTTGTTATTATGGATAAAAAAAATTATATGTTGCTATTGTGTATAGAAAAAGGAAAATACATATGCTATTATGGATATAAAAGTAAAGTACATTGTTATTATGGATACAAAAATTAAAGTTAATTGCTATTATGTTTTACAAATAAAATATATTTTTTATTTAGACAAATCGATTTCTTGCATAGGAAAAGAGAAGAGATGTAAAGAAGAAAAATATGACCTGAAGAGTAGAGATGATAGAATTCATGACACAATTTCATAACCATCTAGACATCCACCAAATGACTCTTAGTTTGTTGCACTTATCATATGGTTTATTATATTTGTGGTTTAGACAAAAATCTTAATACTTGTGTTGTATTGGATAATTTTTATTTTTATGGTTGAATTTGGAAAATGTTTCGATTTGTGCTTGAACTTGGAAAACAAGATTTGATTGTTGTATTTGATTTAATATTGCATTTTTGGCATGAAAAATCTGTTCTTTTCGGGTTTTTTTTATGTTGTGGTTTATTATATTTGTGGTTTAGACAAAAATCTTAATACTTGTGTTGTATTGGATAATTTTTATTTTTATGGTTGAATTTGGAAAATGTTTCGATTTGTGCTTGAACTTGGAAAACAAGATTTGATTGTTGTATTTGATTTAATATTGCATTTTTGGCATGAAAAATCTGTTCTTTTCGGGTTTTTTTTATGTTTTCTCAAATGCTGCCTTGTTTTCCGACAGAATACATATGAAAAAACTTGTCACTACAAAAATGTATATTGAAATTCCTCACAAACTTTTCGTCGGAAACGCGTTAGAATAGTGTCGCAAATGAGAAAATTGTTTTCCATCAGAAATTTCCGACAAAATAATATGTTGGAAATGTGTCAGTCATTTCATCGTAAATATGTAGGAAATAGGTTCCCACACACTTTCATTACCATAGATTTGATTTTTCCCGAAATGTTACGAAACAATCGGAAATTCAGGTTTTTTTTTCTAATAGTGGAATGATTTAAAATTTAAACAAAACACATAATACAATATTCTTATTCTTATTCTTATTATCATTTCTTATTTGATTTGCATACAAAGAATTGCAAACCACTGTCTTATGCAATCATGTTCTCAATGCTAATTAAAGTTGAACCAAGGCACTAATATCATACGGAGACGCATCCATGGGAGAAGGTGCATTGTATGATCTTGATGCAATGCCCATGTTTGTAATTTCTGTGGGATGAAGACCATCATAGAAAATAGTTAAATTACGATCGGGGCAAGGAATTGAGTTTGGAATACACTGTCCATCTTCCCGTACTTGACAACAAGGACCAACTGCAAATTCAGAACAATATATGCGATTAATTACATACGAAATAATTTGAAACTCAGCAAAAAAAAATGATATTGTAATTAATCGACATGAATGATACACCATAAATTGGAATGGGTTGTACTCGTGTTTTACCTTGTTGTGATGCTGAAGGGCTAATTGTTACGTTGATGAAAGTGAATCTTGCGTCTGGGAAATTACTGTTGAGCTCATAAACAAGAGGCTTAAGCCTATCATTATATAGACTAGTAGCATTATTGATCGAATCTACACATGGTTTTCCACCAGTGCCAAACCTTGCTATCTCAGTTGGGGTGCACCCTAGCGGACCCAACCCGAACACTGCAATCTTCCTAGCTCCCAATTTGTACAAAGCCTATCATATATTGACACAAATGCAAATTTGATATTTTCAGTTTAATGAAAATTAACATGATTAGAAGAAGCAAACAATTAAATATCACAAAAACATTTCAAAACAGGATTAGTAATAATTTGTACCGTTAGTTGTTGAGAATATTGTCGCACGAGAGCGGTTGCATATTGATCAACAGTATATATGCGGCTCGTGGGGTAATTATTGGGCATTAGGTAGTTGTTGATGTAATCATCGCTTCCAAATGATTGATACGTAAATGCATTTTGTAAGGTATTCTTGGGTAAATGTCTTGTTGCGTTGTAAGAGAGAAAGGCGAGCGATTATTGTTGCATGATTAAGAATTTGCCTATTGAAGGTGAAACGATCACCCTGTCATCAAGTAACACAAGAAAAGTTGATTAACGCGTCTATTTAATGTTGATTAAAAGTAAAATAACCACTCGTGATTACCAATTGTCTTCCAGTTTCATCTCTAATACCAGCACCAGCACTACCGTAGTTTACGCCTGTGCTGATCTCTTGGTTGCTTACGTTAGCGAAGGGTGGAATGAAGTTATCAAAACCTAGAAGTTGACCTAAAATCGAACATACAATTTCTTGATATTAATATTATTATCCTTAAATATGAATAGTGTTAATAAGCAAGGTATTGCTCACAAAAATATGAAGTTAAACGTCACATAATTTTAACAAGAATGTTTAACTATTTTAAAATATAAAGTGTCAAGATAAATGAGAGAGTTAGAGAAAGAGACCAATGATGTCTGCGATGGTTCGACCATTTGTGAATCTACCAGTAACGCCTTGTGTGAAATCAATCCCGTAGGGTTGGTAGTTGGCTTTTGATACTGTTGGAAGTGCATTGTTATTTCCGTTGTCGACCAATGCATCTCCAAATATGAAGTAACATGGGACTTGTGGTTGACTCACAACAAATGTTACAAGTTGTGTCATTGTGACAACTATGAGGACCGAAAACAGGAGGCTGAGTGGAGGAGTCATTTTTGTTGGAGTAGAAGAAAGGTATTGGGTGATGATATATTTTGAATGAAAACTGTATGCTATTTAAAGAAAAAAAATAGGGGGTAGGGCTATGGAAACTTTTTGCTTTTCAACGGTTAAGAGGAGTCAAGTGGACAACAAGTTCGTTTCAAATATTAATTATAGTATTTTCTTATATAATATAACTTCTACATAGAAGAAAAAAAAAAGTGATAGCCAAAGATTTAAAGAGTTTTTGACCAAATAGGTAGTTTTGAAATTTTTATTTAATATAGTTTCAAAAATATTTACCAAATAGGTATAGTCTCAAAATTTTATATTTTTCAGCTTTTATTTTATTTTTATTGTTTTTATTTATATTTTTTTGACATTTTTTAAACTTTTTGCTATTAATTTTTTTTTTAACTTTTTTTACAAATACCTTTTTTTATCCCCCAAACACAAAATACACATAATTCACAGTTTTTACAATATTATCTTAATAAATGGATATTATGAAATAAAAAGCAACATACATTTATATAAATACCACTGCACACTTTAAAAAGATAATCGCATAAAAAAATATCCACTCTCTAAGTAAAAAGAAATTTAACAATCGTTCCAGTCATAATCTTCACTACTTAAAAAATGCAAAATCATAAATAAAAAAAAAGAAAAAAAACTGGTAGATATAATGTCAAGAAACATTGTGAAGCAGATCCATCTAAATTTGTTTTCAACATCAATCACATTCTTCACCCATTGTCAAAGTAGTTTCTCTATTTTAATGTGGATTCAATTTGACTAGACCCATAACTACAACAAAATTATATATATTTTTAACATAAAACAAGAAAAAAAAACATAACAATATTGTAAATAGGAAATATCAGAGATCTATTTTTCATGTCTATATATCGTCTCATCACAAAACACATAGACAAATGTACTTATATGTTATTTTTAATATAATAAGTTTCTAATTGAAATTCAAAAGAAGATCGCCCTAAGTCATTTCATCAAACAGTTTATGTGTTAAACATAAATTCAGCTGGATTGGAATGTGAAGGAGAAATTATAACTAAACAAACGATTTCCAAATTCACCAATTTAAGTTTCCATAAACGATTCTGTGTTGCTATTCAATCCCACTGAAATCAACGTGATGGAAATCTATAGACAAAAAAAAAAAAAAGAAATGAAACTGATGCTTACCATGATAAACACTCTGGATTGTTGACAGACGGATTTACGGATGATAAACGCTTCAACGGAGATGAACGCCGGAGATAGAGCAGTGGAGGCCGGCGGGTTGCCGGAGGTAAGCAGTCGACTGAGGGTCGTCTCGTGTGGCCGGAGGTGAGCAGCGTAAAGGAAGCGCCGGTGGTGAGCCGCATCGATTGAGATTCTTCTGGTGTGGCGGAGACGCCTACGTTTGGCCGGAGACGGAGTCGTTTGGAGGATTCACGATGTAGACGCAATCCGACGATTATGGCACCGATTTCTTTTACAAATTCACCTCCTTTGGTAAATATGTTTGGAATACCTTTTTAGTATATTTTTTTAAAAACACTGTTTTACTAAAAAAACTCAGATTTAATAGAATAAAATAATAGTCAATTACAGATTTTCGATTATACTAAAATCCTAAAAAAAAAATAAAAAAATAAAAAAAATATATTACAATAACAACTCTTTTTCTTATTTTTTTCATACAACAGAGTTGAAATTAAATGTCAATGTATAACATTTAGTGCATTTAAAGTCAGATTTATCACAAGACATTTATTTTATTTAAATTTAATAATATAGCTTATTAAAGGATTATAAACATATAGTAAACGTAAAATTTCAGTTTCTCCAGTTTTTCAATTTATCATTGAATGGTCATCACATTTTGTCAAAACACTTAAAAAGGCACACTATCATTTTCCAATTCCAATAAAATTCAATATAAACTGTTGTTTGTAAAATTCGAAGTTGAGATATATTTTATGTTTTAGCGAAAGTAATGGTCATAAACATGTAGGAAACATCAATACGATTTCCGTAGATATATAAAACGCCCGAATCCAACATCGTATGAATAAGTTATGTTTTTTTGAAGTTTCGCGATTAAACCGAGACGGCTATGCGCATCGTAAAATATTAATCATAGATAGATCACTTATTAGCATAATAAATCTAAAAAATCATAGTAATCGTAAACCGAGAGCGTGTATATAGAGAACGTCCAAATCTGACTTCACATTAGGAAGTTCATATTTTTAGAAGTTTCAGCACAACAGTATGCGATATAGAAACCGAAATTTAAATCGATTGATTGTTAGGAAAAACAATCTAAATGAGAGTCGAAGATATCGTCGATATAATTTCACCGATATAAAGCAATCGAGAATGAAAGTCGCATGGATAAGTTATGACTTTTATACGGATTTAAACAGTCTAAGCATGTTAAAAATGTAGCTTTAAAACAAAGTGATAATAGTCAACACAATCTAAATGAAAGTTGTAGATCTCGTCGATAGCTACTTGTGGATATAAAGAACGTCGAAAACGAAGCTTATACAAAGAAGATATGATCTTTTTGAAAAAACTAAAAATACGTGTGTGCACAGCGCACTTTGACACACCACCAGCTTGCCGGCACATGTCAACACCCAGACAACACCACGTTAGCACCCGACCAAGTGTGTGGAGCGCACGCAACCATGTGTGCGGTGCGCATCCCGAATTTGCCTATAAATTGCTTTCTTCACCTCATTCACTCCTCACATCATCTCTTAATTCTCTCTCAACTTTTAGGCTAGGTTTTTGAGGTCTTTTCTTGGGATTGTTCATTATTTTTAGCTTAGAGAAGCTCTAGGCATATAGGCTCGATTAGGAGAAGATTTCGGGTCGAAGTTCTGCCAGTCCAATCTCCCGGTTTTTTGTAGAAACTCTCTGTAAGTTAAACTACACTCATATTTCTTTGAGTGTAACTTATATTTAAATTCATCGTCGTTGTTATGGATATATAACTAAGATTTATTAGTAATTCTAGTTATAATGTTGATTGATCTATATACGAGATAGGTGTCTAGAATGGTCACATTGGCTTGGCTGTTGGATTTTAGAAAAGCTATGTGTCGAAATGATTATGCCGCCTAACTTTCCTGCCCGGTTGATCCTTATTGGATAGAACTCTCAGTATTCGTTGGGATTAGTGAATGATCCGTATTTCATTACCAGATTCTAATAAGGATTAATATGTAATAGTACTATACATTAATACTCGTTAGGCGCTTTAACCGCTAGTGGGATCACCTAGAAAGCTGTTAATCTTCTAAGAAATTGTGCAAGTGAGTTATCTCACTATACCATGTATTACAATATATATATATATATATATATATATATATATATATATATATATATATATATATATATATTCATGTATGTTAGGATAGAGAACTAGTAGAGCAGAGCTGGTAGTATAATCTCTATGTGATTAAGTATGAACTGATAGAGTAGAAAGTATAAATGTTTCTGTAAGTAAGGGCTCCCTGTATGTAATTGTTGTGATATTAGACTCAGTTAGGGGATGATGGTGGAACAGTTAAAGAGGTTGGGAGCCTATAGGCCTACATTGATTTAGTTAGGGGATGATGGTGGAACGATTTAAGAGGTCGGGAGACTATAGGCCCGCATAGATTTAATTACGGGATGATGGGCGAACGATGAAGGAGGTTGGGAGCCTGTAAAACTGTGTAATCTAAGATACACATTTTCTTGGCAGATCGTGAGCTATTGTTTGTATGCATGTATATCTATTATGATATATGGTATTTTAGGGAACTCATTAAGCTTCATGCTTACTTAGTTGATTATAAATATTTTTCAGGTACTTCGATGACTAGTAAGAAGGTCAAGGTTCAAATATACACACACGCATTTGCAACATGTTTCTGCATAATGTAATTACACTCTGATATATTTTAATAAATAAAAATGAAAAATGTGCCTTGAAAATCGGGACGTTATAAGTTGGTATCAGAGCCCTGGTTTGAGCGAACTGGATGAACACTCGTCTGATTCCAGACTCAAATTAAGGATCTGAGTAATATATAAATATTTTCATAAATAGAATAATATAAAAAGGAAAGAATGTGATGCGTACAAACAACCAAAGCTGAGAAGGCAAAGTGATTCCAAAAATATCCATATTTGCTATGTATACTGATATATCAAAATGTTAGAAATGCATGCTAGTATGTAGGCTAGGAATCTTTTCAGGAATAGCCTGTTAGAATTTCCTGATACTTAAGATGCCTAATAGGATTTGCTTGTTATTTGCTCCCAAAATTAAATAGTTTTAGATTGCCTGATTTGGCGCTATTTCACAGCTCTTGTCTGAGTCTAACCGTTATAATGTCAGATCTTTTAGTCGACATATTGCTTGATTATAGAGGCATGTAATCGTATTCGTCTGATAATTAGTTAATATTAGTAGAAGTTCTACGTCAGCCAATAGTGGAAATGAGTGGAAGGAATCCTATAAGAATAGTCTAGGAAATTTAATATATGCTTGATAGAGAATATATTCGTAAGGAATCCTATAAGAATAGACTTGGAAACCTTAGAGCAATTCTTGGATCTAGTCTGGATAGGTGTGGAAGGTAGTATGGGCTCGTACTACCGAAAGCACATGATCCATACATGAATCAAGAAAAGCCACAAAGTTGCTAAGGAATTGGGGAGGATTCGAATACCATTTTAGAGTTTGTTCGATTCATGTTAACCTATTCTCGTTACGCCCCCAACATGGTCATGATCATGAGAGAAAGCGGGTCGTGTTCTGGATCTGAAGGGTCAGGACCAAGCGAGACTGAGATACGCGATTGGATAGAGGTGGCAGTGTCAAAAAGTGTAAGATAGATAATTCTGGAAATGTTCGAAACTATTAATACTTAACTGATAGTCTTATTTGATGAACAGTACGCTGTCGTTTCCAGTGTAACATCCCAAAAATACAGGCCAAAAATTTCATTTTTAAATACGTTATTATAAAACCGA